GATGTTCATCCCTGGATGTTGTAAATGATTCGGTTTGAGTAAAACCGTTCTGCTTAGTTGTGGGTGATAAGGTCAAGCAACGTAGATCATCGTCCATTGCAGAAGGTAATAACGACTGGCGCCTCACTGGGACTCGATTAGAGGCTAATATCTTTGCTTCGTTTAGCACTGGCTGATGATCGTCAGAGATACGCCGCAAGGAATTCACACTTTCATGAAGTGATGCCTCATTATCATCATCTTCGATAGACTGAAACATCTCACTGTAAGACTCCTGGCTGAGGGGTCTCTCTGGAAGAGCTTTGCTGTTTGGTTCCGTAAATGAGAAATCCATACGCTGCAACTCCGTTACACGGATCATGTATGTGTCACGCTAGGAAATTTAGTCCCTGAGTATCAAGAGTGAAATGCCAAAAAGAAGAAAGGAGGGGAAAGAAATCGCTCAAAAAGCAAGACTCACAATTTCCTGAAGTTTTGACTTTTCCTCTTCTCCCCCGCTGCTTCTAAGCATAACAAGTTGCAGGAGCTGGCAGGCATCATTATAGGCTTCCATTGCGCCTTCAAAATTTGCCGCATTGTCAAGAAGCACAGCAGTGTTGGCTTTCTGTAACGCTTTAGATAGCATTGCCTTCTGGGAATGGCCTCGTCGCCGCTTCCCTTGAATTTGCTCCCTACCATTAAACATCTGGGAATTCTCGTTAGGTGCTTGCGCATCAGCACTTGATCTCGACCATGGATTTTGAAAGAGACTAGCAGCAATCGACGTGGAGCCGAGCGGCAGATGATCCTGATGCGATGAAGCAGGATCTATAGCATTTGTCGGGGAAGCCGATAAGGTACCGTGACTTCCAAGTTCGAGGACTCGCATGTAGTGACCCGTGGCAACCGAGTGCGAAGAATGATGGCCTTGCATTGGACTTTCATCGTTCGTCGGTGCGGCAACCCGAGGAGAAAGTCGTGGGATAGTGTTCCTCTCAGGACTTGCGCGGCCTTTGGGAGACGTGTAATCATGGTCGACAGATGCTTTAGAAGGGACCCCTTGAGGGTAGCTATCATACTTGGGCGAATCCTTGCTGGATGACGTTGACTGGGACCAGCGATTCAAACTGCCAAGGCCTTCTTGGATATGGTCACCTGGGCTAGTTGAAGGGGAGCGTGTAACCGACTCTGAGACAAGCTCGGGCCTTGTCGGTGTTACTGCTCCAAATCTAGAAGCAAGTTCTGTGCTATCAGAGCCTTTCTTTTTAAATCTATTCCAAGAATTGGCTCGGGATAAACGTGGAGCTGATGTGTCTGCGATGGAAGCGTATTCCGGAGACATGGGACGTCCATATCCTTCCGAAGTCAAATTATGGGCCATTGCTTACAAGGACCAGGCAGTCAATGCCGTGCCAGCAACACAACAGCAGAAACGGTCGGATTCCACAGAGGAGAAGAGGGATGATAGATGAACCGATAGAGGATGGGTGAGGGGTGTCTTCAAAGTAACACGACGTGTGTTGTACTGCGTTTTCGAGTTGCCGTCGCAGGCGTCGCTCTTGGTTATAAGTGTATGACAGCCAGTTCGAGATGGATAGGTCTATGATGACGATCAAAGCGAAGCGGGTGGATTTTCCTAGATCCCATAGGTCTGCAGATTACAAATTTGGATTGCGCCGCGTATTTGAGGGACGTCGCAAATATGTGTATGTGTGACTGGCGGGTTAACCTCTTCGGACTCTAGAAGCTGGTAAATGGGGGCTACTCTGTAGCCTTGATAATGTCACATGTAACAATCGTAAGCCAACTCCTCTGGCTCCCCTATTGCAAATACTTCCTTCAGCACATGGCCCGTTACTCTGGTGCAATGGTGTCGTAAAAAAAGGACATAATTATCTCGAACCGATGTGGAGTAGATAACTCGTCATTGGTCGCGATACATCGTAATCGAAGTTCCGCTGCGCAACCTCTTCGAAAAAAAAAAAAAAAAGTAAAAGAGACACACTGATCGCTATTTCAGGTGGTAAACAGTTTTGAGGGCTCTGGGAGCTGCCCTGTCGAATTGCCGTCAATGTACCTTTCCGGTGTAGTTGGAGGCGAGGATGTGGTAACCCAAGTCAATTGCTAAGAGTTTATCAATGGAACGGGCCGTGGAATCCAATTACTGCGGGATGGTAAGTTAACAAATAATGGTTGTGAGTGTACTAATGACAGTATCTCATTGACATCTTTACATTTGGAGAGTGGTCCGTGGGTAGGGTAACACGTACCGATCTTAAAGTAATATTGTTCTTTCTGACGAAACATGGGACGACGGAGGAAACTAATGTGGGGGTTAAATTGTGTTGAGTTCCTTTTGTCCAAGGTGCTGGATAAAACCAGTCGATGGTATAACTGCACCATAGATCTGATAACTAATTTTGAGAGGAGAAAATTGGCCGATGGGAATGAGGTGCAATATACCGCGAAATATTTGAGGCCCATAGATGAGAAGCCTGGTGAGAAAAAAAGGGGATTGATCCCGTGGCCATTTTCTTTTTTAGAGCGGCAAAAAGGGGCCGCTAGGTACCTCCGGGAGTACTTACAGTACTATATGTACATACATACTACCTTCTAAATTCCCGAAGGTTCAACAAGGCTAATATTATCATTATACTTCGCGCGAGTCCCGTCCACTACTAGGTAGCTCTCCTCCAAAACATCCTAGAAATAGAGAAGGGTTTCTGAAAGGGAACACTCTATATGGAGTAACCAAATTTGCCTCATAGGCTCTAATAATTGTTTGTATTTGAGAAAACCTGTGAAGAGATCATCATAAAGAACCATACAGTCCAATGGGATAGTTGGCCCTACGGAGTAGATTGCATAGAGCACTGTAATCACCTTGATTGCGCAGCGGAGCGTAGCAAGCAATATACGAGACTGCTCAACCGGCGGATCTGTGTTCTGATTATTCTACGGCTCTGTGTTCTGATTGGGGGAGAGTTTATAAGTTACGTCATTCCTGCCTTGTCTTATAGTAGTATAGTTAACCATTTCCAGCCTATTTAGGTAATCTGGGCAGTGTAACTATCTCCAGTAAGCTTCGAATTGCCTGCGTGGCCTAGATTTCTAGAGCTTTGAATTCTCTGTGGGGCCTAGATCCTGAGAGTCTTTGAATACACTGTAATGTCTAGATTTTTAGATTATTTAAATATGCTGCAATACCTGCGCAGCCTATTCAACTAGGGTAGATAATACAGGTAATCTAAATAGTATAGTATAATCTTTTAAATAATCTTAGTAATTTAGGGGGTGTAATAACTAAAAGGTCATGTGATTCATCCGCTATGCAGGCTTCGTGCCAGTTCCTTACGCTGGCAGCCCCTACTAAGTAGTAAATCTCTACTACTAGTAATAGTATGTACTTCTGAATTTCATGCAGATACTCTAATATTGCCGATATGCTATATTTTATCCTTTATTTTTGCTCCTAATAATACCTTCATACGTTACTAAAATAGATACTCCGGGTAGTCTCCTCCAAATCTCTGGGTTTTATGCAAGCCAAACAACTGCACTATTCCTTATGCTAAATGAGAACTCTGCGTTGCTACATGTAGGTGGGGAGTGTGTCCTGTGTACATATATATGAGATCCTTTATTGTCTGTCCTCTTCTTCCCCTGAAGTCCCGTGCTTCTTTCTCGTGATATTAGTCTGACGTACTGCGGCGAAAAGAGGTTTATACGAAAACACGGCAATACGGTGCATGTATAGTATTTATATACCAGGGCGATAGTAAGATACCAAGCAGCCTGTATGTAAGACTGGTAAACCCTGGAATGGATATTCTGGTAGCTATGTCCTACCAATACTATCAAAATGGGCTCCAAAAGGGAGAGGAGGCATCGGTCCTTAGTATTGCCATATATACATTGTTTATAAGCTGCCGTCTCCTTCCGCAGATCGGTTCTTGTAGCGTGGCGCCACCTTCACAACCATTCGGAGCATCCTCTTTAAGCTCATGGACCGCTGCATTTCTAGGGGCGAGTTTGAAAAGTGTTCTGACTTCTAAGATGTAATTGCGGCAACGAATGCTCTGCTAGAACGACAGGATAAATAATAGCTTTTACGGCGACCAAGGCTTATCATCAATACTGATTAAAAGTCGGAATCCAGCCCGGGTCCTGGGTTGTTGTTTTGATTGAGTGATTCGGGGTTCCGAAGCCCCACAGTGGGCGAGAGAGCTACATACCTCTTGACCGTGAAGCTACTAGTGAACTGGCATCCAAACCCGGCTTTAGCCGTATCAGTTTCTAGGGCCTGCCACAAATAGCGTCATGACGTACCGGTGCGTGTTTGTCTCTTACTTGCCAAAAGCTTATACTATGTTGAATTGATTTAAATTTACCTTAGTCGCAGAATCCTATGCCTTCAATTCGTTCGGATGATTCGCAGACAACTCGTTGTATTGTAATTTTGGCTTAGACTGGAGTAGGGCATATTATTTATTACACATATCTCCAGTTAAACCTCCACAAACCCGCTCCCAGTCCACCACACCACACCTATTGTAAGTGTTTATGTCTAACAAGTGAGACTAAATAGTCACATTTCATCTAAACTCACAACAATATCGGTCTGTATGTACTAGTTCCGCCCGTATTAGGTTCGACAATAGGAATTTTGGCATCGGGATAATAGGACATCAATGCAAGCCTCTAACTGAACCAGACAAATGGGTCCCTAGCCGAAGACTTGTAAGAAATTATGGACTATACTCCGTTTAGACAGGATGCACGTCGTATTTACGCCATAGCATAGCAGCTCTATCACGACCTGCTATTGGCGTATGGAGCATGTATGTTAAGACGTTACAATACATCAAGGCTATGCGTATGTCATCAACATAGAATAAACTAAAGGTTGGAAGCCACCTAGCAGACCATCTCCTCAACTTATGAGACTAGTGCGCCTAAATTACAGTAACTAGGCTAATTTGTAGACACCATTTCTACTTCACGATTGACTTCTTGGAAAACTACTCCTCACTCTCATCCTCCTCGCTTGTCGCTTCAATGTTTTTTCTTGGCAGGCGCGATGCTCCAAGCCCACTATCACCACCAGAAGCTTCATTGTGGTCTTGATTTGGGATACTATGTCTGCAGGCGTAATCTGGTCGTGGAACATACACTCCAGAATCCTTTAGTGTAAGCTCAATATCAGGCAATAAGGTGACAAGGGATGAAAATTGGTCGATTGGCAACGAGATGCCCTGTATGAATCATCAGCAGGACGCGATAACAGTATGAGGAAGATGGCTAGAGAGGAACCAACTTTCTTGCCGGGAAGCTCTTGGCCATCTTTCTCGTAGTATTCCCTGATATTTACCAGTGTCTTTCCTCGAAATGAGGAAATAGTGACACGACGCAGTTTTGATATTTCCCAGTACCGATCCCCATTTGCATCAACATTTCCAGTAGCACTAAACTTCGTTCTTTTCAACTGGGGATGTTCATCGTTTACAATTTCACCAGCACCTGACGCACGCTTTCTGAGCCTGGAAGCCATGACATACGCTGTTATTCAGAAGTAATTGATATGCGTAGAGTGGACGAAGGAAGTCCGTGCTGATCTTAGATAAAAAGAGTCTCTGTTAGCAAAGTTGATGTAGAGCTACGGAGACAGTACTACTCGGTACAAGATACAGGACGGAGCTCTTATCTTTTGTTATCACCACGTGACCGATGCTAGAAGCTTGTCAGAAATAGTTCGTATAGCTACTATTGCCACAGTCGAAAAAGCCCATTATGACTGCTCTATAAGCAGCTTAGGACATATTCGGGCATAGAACCACAAGTTACTCCGTAAACTATACCTCAATAGCACTCATTTTAAGTCGTGATAGTAAGGGCAGCTTAAAAGATGACGGACCTCAATCCCTGTATGAGAACAGAAAACACAAGCCCTCGCGCAATGATTGGTACTTGGAGACAATCGAATACCTTCTCAAGCGCTTCACGACTGGCAGCCGCTCCCATTACACTTGTTAAGGCCTGTGGCAACCCTTTCTGCACAAAAGCTTTCCGTGCAGTCTCCCTTAGACGCTCCTTTTCGGCCTCGTTAGGTGCAGAAGGCCAAGACTTCAACTCAGCTTCTGTTGGGAGGACGTTCTCACGAAGTTTGGTGATATACAGGCCAAGCGCTTCGTCAGATGTGTTGGATTCAATCATTGATCCTTGCAACAAGCCGCGAATCGTCTCTAAATTTGGGTTCCCGGGGCGTAATATGTATGACTTCGCCGCATTTAACAGAGTCCGGCGTATATTCCAGGCAGATGATAGTGTATATAATTCATTTATCACTGCAAAAATGAGTTCCACAGCTATTCGGGTTTCTTCTTGGGTGATAGGGTTGCCTAGGCCCTCTGAACTATCTTGCGAAGCCGTATTCACCCGCTCCCCTATTTGAGTATGGGTATCTTCCTCCCTGGGCCTACCTGAAGAGTGTGAAAGTCCTAGCGAACCACGATGCCTGAGATCCAAGCTAGAGAGGGCAGCAATTCGCTCCGTTTCTGCGGCGAGAGCCTGGCGTGACCCTTTTGCATTTTCTGCTGGATTGTCGAGAGGTATGTCCTGGCAGGGTTTGACTCCCTTCACAGCCGTGGTATCAGACGGAGCTTCAAACAGTGGCGAACTATGCCTCTGATACCTGGAGGGTAATTGAGTACCGTGCATTCCACTATATGGCTCCAGTGAATGTCGTCTCGGATTTCCAGCGTCCTCAGATTTGCGCGGGGGAGACTCATTCGGCTGTGTAAGGGCATTGATATTCTGATTGTGACTATTTGAAACCAAATCTGATGAAGTCTTCTTAACAGACTTCACGCCGAATACCCCGGTCATGCCACCGAAAACAGCCTTGCTGCCGTCGGAAACGCCTTTGGGTGCATTTGCTAAGACGCCTAGAACCCCCTTTCCGACATTTTCGAGGGAGGCCTGGCTTGTAAAAGAGAATCCAGCCTTCAGGGATGTGCCCACAGATGCAGGACCAAGACTTCCACCCTTTTCAAGAAACCGTTTCATTCTTTCACTCTTTGCGAGAGGTTCGTTTTGAAGGGCATCTTGAAGGTATCTCTCCAAACTCCTCGCCAATACTTGCTTTGTCTGTCCTTTCCAACTAGGTAGGATAGGATGATCGTCTGTAAACTTTTGAATTCCGTTTAATCTCGAAATCGTTGCCAATGTCTCATGGAGTGACTCAAACTCTGTGTAGTTCCTGAACACCATCCATCCCGTACAAGACGCGGACGCCGGCTCAATCTGGACTAAGTAATTTGAGATTGGTTTTGATCGCAGCAATGTTTCATCTCCCGAATCTAAGCCATCATCTACCGTTATAGAAGCTCGATGGAGAGTCAGGGGAGCATGTATGTCGCTCTCCGATGCTTGATTCAACGACAAGGAACTTGCGGAATGTAGTGAAGACGGCGAAGAGGGTCGCCTTGCAGGACTTAGTTCGAAGGCATTTTCAGATCCAAGCTCATGGATCTTCTGAGTCGGCTTGGCGCTCACATTCTCAAACCCTAGCTGTGTTCTAGCATCATATTCAACCCTTTCCGTCCCATGGTAGGGCTGTGAAATAGGATCTTCTCCGCCTGAAGAAGGTGAGGTTTGAGAATCATTATATACCGACTGCTCAGCATTTTGATGCTGCAGGTCTTGTGCTGCGATCATGGCACTTAGTCGCTTAGCTTCCACCATGGCTTCTTCAGTTGCCTTATCTATATGGGCAGTCTCTGAACCCACTTTCTTTCCATTCACTGGTGTTGGAAAAGGCATATTTACTTCTTTGGAACCTTTGGCTGCAGTTACACCATTGGTTCGCGCCCCTTCAACACCAGCATCAATTGCACTCATAATTTCAGATTTGCCTTCATTAAGAAGCTGAATGATCCATCCATTGATGAACTCTGGACGTGATAGACTCGAAATGATGGATTCGAGGACAACACCGGCTAAGATCTCGCGAAGAAAATCCCTTAGAGGAGGCAGCGCGTAGGCTTTCGGATCCAAAAAGCTGGCCAATATATCGTCCGCTATCAAGTTGAGTTTCTTATGCTGTTGTTGGCTTGCTAAGACATTTGCCAAACTGCTCTCGGGGGAGAATTCTAGGTAACGCTGGATAGTTTGTTCTGGCGTCATAGTGGGCCCAATAGTCTCAAAAGCCGTAGACAGTTCGTTCAAGAATACGATTAACATGGAGGATGAATTTGTGAGAAATTCCAAGAAAGTGTCTGCTGCTCGTTTACGTGAGAGGTGTGTTGACACAGAGGTTATAAGGCTGATCAATGTCCTCCGGCAGGAGAGAGGAAATGTCCTCTCAGACGGCAAGATCGATTCATACCAACAACTTTCTCTTTGGTAAGCTCTTGTCTTATTTAGAAAGGTGGAACCTTACTTTACATAGTCCCTGATCACCGCGTCGGTCAATGATTCCAGCGCGGCAGCTGTCTCTGGACGGAAAGAGGTGTAGTCCGGTTCTATTTCCACCACATCATGTGAAAGCTTCTGGGTGTTGTCATGGCTTGATCCAATTCCTGTGGTTTTGAGTTCAGGCCAGTCAAGCAACCTATGAGCTATATCCAAACCTGTTTCTCTTCTCCTCTTAGGAAGTCGATAATTCAATTCGTTCCCAGAGGAATGGGTACTCGCCCCCTCCCATGACGCATGTAGGACGATGCCACTAGCTACCCCAATCAGGAGCAGACCAAGTCTTCCCAGAAGAATATATGTTGCGCATACCAAGCCAGCAAAGACGCCGAGTAGAACTTCACTACTAGCAGTAGAAAGGAAACCAATGACAATTTCAAGAAGCTCCTTTGATTGCGCTGTATTGGTTCCATGGTTGTTTGGGCCGGTTTGTTCTGCAACACTTGCTTGGTCGGGGAGGTCAGGTTCACCTGGCTGTGAAGGAGCATCGGCGGGAGTGTCCATGGTTATTGACCCCATGAAATGACAGTTCGCCACAAGGGTAGTAAGCAGTTTAGAAGGAGTTTAAACCCGCCCCTTGTTCATTTATATTGTCAGGAGTGTTTGTTCCCAGACACTACTCCTATGTGAAATTCATGATACAGTAAAAAGTGATTGCAGTGGGCAAGCTGCCTGGACCTAGTCAAACTAATTAAATACCCGACGGGAGTGTATCGGTACAACCATGCGATCAACCTTATTCGTGTGCATAGACTTAGAGGGGAAATAATGTGCATACGTATGTATGTACTAGTTCCTTGAAAATTATATGATCTCAGGTATAGATACAGAGGCATGCCTCTAATTAGGGAATGTTGTTGATGTCGTTGATAGCACTACTCCGTACATTTCGGATACATGACGGCAACTCCTTAGGTTATCAAAGCACTCATCCAACACTTGAAGAAAGTATGTACTTGGGATAAGTTGTTGAAAATGTCTCCATTCGTTATTGCCTTGCTCCACTGCCGGAAAACAAGGTATCTAAAGCAATAGAATGGGATTATTCTCCGCTATCCGAGTGAATCTAGGCATTCAAAGTACATGCGTTTCATGCCAGATGTAAAGATGATTGCGGTACAAATAAAGTCAACAGAGCAACTATGGAGATTTTGTTCCCCTATCTTTTTTCTTCGAGGCCACCTGGCCCTTATAGATTTCGTGCCCGCAATATTTATACGACCTGGTGCATCCCAAACGGGCGAGTTCATCGTATTCTAATATATTTTGTATGGGTTCCATGTGCAACAATGGTTATCTGTCCAGTCTCGGTCCTTTTAGAGATAGTAATTGATGTGAAAGCCAGTGACGTCCCCACTTTATTAGCCCGGCCCTCAATCTCCAGCCAGTCCCCAGTCGTCGCCGTAGAAAGGTAATTGACATGAATATCTGTGCTCACCCCTGTAGAGTCGAGGCCACAGGAAGCGATTGCTAACCCGCCTGCCCAGTCAGTGACACAGGCCGAGAAAACACCATGCAAAGTGCCCTTTGAATTAAGGTGGTGAGGAGCGACTTGAATGCGAGAGTGAAACACGCCTTTTTCGGCATTGTAGATATCGATATCATTAAGAAGAAAGGCATATATCGGACTAGCGACTCGGATACGCTCCCAAGCTCCCTGAACTTGTTTTAGCTCTGAGCTCATATTATATTGTTGTGCGTTGTTCAGCGCTTCCGTGCGTGCCTCCTAAGGAAAATTTGGGAGGGAGACAAAGTGCCCCACGGTAAGGAAGAGGGCAAGGTATTTATTTCCTTGGGGGCCTCTCAATAATTTGTACGAATGTTACTAGTGTCGGCCGTATTAATGTACTGCACAATACATACCGGCGCATCCGAAGACTAGCTGAAATCTATATAGAGTATAGCCATATCAAAATTAGGAAGGCGTACTGCGTAAGAACTAATTACTTCCTGAAACAATTAACCATACCTATAATACTCCATACATTGACGAATATCATTGATAGCTATGATAGAGCTCGTTTAACATTAGGTATACCATGCAGCAAGTAACTCAGTAAGAACGACTACTCAAAAATTCAAGCTTTTACTGAATAAATCTTTATACACTTCGGCCTTATAATGACATATAAGTAAAAGCATACGATAGCAGACGCGAACTATCAGTCTGTGAACATCTATCATGTAGAGCATAGATTGTATTGTCCTGGTTTCCCCTCCCTAAAGCCACGGTGTAACCCCATAAAACGCAAGAGCGTCTCAATCAGGCTTCCCGTGGAGGAACCCTCCTGGACAACATCTGTGAAAGCATGAAGTGGTTAACGTCCTCATCAGCCCAGTATGTCAAGTGGCTGGCGATGCTGGCAATCATGGATATATCAAAAGCCCCTCTGGTTTTGTGGAGTTAGCGTTCCCATTATGTTAGAGGTTGGACGAGTACCATAGGGAGTCTTACTCTTGTATGCTATAGTCAACCCGCCCGTTCGAATTCAAGGACCTCACCTTTGCATCCTCGGTCCTTAATCTCTTCATACGGATCTCATTCCCCGGGTGTTCAGAAGCTTCGTCGCTTGCAGGAGCAGACGCATTCTTCCCAGGTGCACCTTTGATTTTTTGGAAGCCCTCATAAAGCGTCTCTAAGTCCGAGTCTATAAGAGTGGGGTGCCGATCAAGTCTATTTGCGAGATCTGCATCTGTGTTGAAAGATGACTGCGACAGGGTGGCAGAGGTTGGAGGGTTCTGAGGAACATCCTCAGGATTAAGGCCAAGACTGCGATTAAGCAAGCTACTCGCGACGCCTGTCGTGAAATTGGTCCACAGAGACCCCACACTTTGGCCGACACGGCTTCCAATTATTGAAAGGCTTTGTCCAGAGGATGCCCAAAGGCTCTTTTTTACTGACGGCAAAGGCTGTGGCCGGAGCGAAGACATTGCTGGTGATATAAGCGGCTCTATGCGATAACTGACGGGATCAGAAGGATGGAATATATTGTAAAGCTGCTCACACTTCGGAGAAGAAACAAGGAAATGGTCATCATCAGGTGCCATTCCTGTGTTAGCCTGGCTGGGTGATGATTCGGCAGTTGTATCTTTTCCATCCACATAAAAAGTATTTTTAGTTGCTTTACTTTCCGGCATGGATCGACCAGCAATAGTTTTCCCTTTCAGCATCTGGAATAGTGCGATTGGAGAGCCCAAACAAAACAGTTCCTTGCACTCAAACTCTAGTTGCCCGTCTTGCAAAGTTGCTGGCGAATTATCTTGCTGTCCCATAGCGGCAGATGGTCCCCGAGATCCAGCTGGGGATTTTTCACGACACAGGATATCAAAGAGAATGGCACTGCCGAGTGAATGCCCACAGAGACTCACTGACCCTCTAAAAGAGGGGTTCCTCTTTTTGAATATTTTGAGAATTCGGTTGCATTCCTGCTTAACTATGGTCGATATGTGCTCGCAGTACGCACTCTGGTACAAAAGCACATCCATTGCTAAATCAGATATTAAATTGCGAACTGCGGGTACGCTATCGAGTGTAATATCAGCTAACCCGGGATAGGGCTCATCTTCGAAAATGTCTGCGTCTGCAAGATCCAGCTCTTTGCGATTTTGCCTCACCCCTCGGTAGGGAAAATCGAGGAGGTGCCTCCAGCATCTAGCATAGATTAGCGAGGGCTTAACAGCGTGGCTCAATTCCTCGGGTTTTCTTCCTCTTTCTCATGGAAAGGAGCCCGCTAGAGGGCCGGGGGATTATTGTATCAGCTTGATAGATTGAATCTATAAGGAATCACTTACACCGGGAGTACCTGGACACGACAATTCTCGTGTTTATCTCCAAATGCCGAGTTGAGGGCCTGAAGATCAGGAGACACCTTGTACACATTTTTCATGGTCTTCCGTAGGACATTCACATCATGGATAAAGTTGATACTCTCTAGCCGTAGCCCAAGTCGTTGCCCAATCCCGTGGGTAACAAGAACTAGATGGTCAATTTCTCGGTCTCTATCATCACCATCGCCCTGTCTCGAATCCTCCATCTCCTTCTCTTCTTGTCTACGAGCTTGTTCTTCAATCTCAGCGGCATTCTGCGGTTCGCCAGCGAGAGATGACATCTGCCTTTCGAGAGTCGATCTCTGGTTTATCCCAGGGGTGCTGTTGTTTTCTAAATGAGAATCCATCACTCCAGGTTTCATGCCTTCCAGTACACGGTGGTCCTGATGATCTGAATGGCGCGCTTCGGGGGTGAAGACTGAGCCCTGGTTTGATCTTCGGTTGGGGTTTCTGGGATCAGGTGCTTCCTTCTGTCTTTTTGTCTCATAAAAACCGCGTACTAATCGTGTACCTGGCACCCCACCCAGCTTCTGGTATACCGTGGTGCTCACACGGGACATGAAGTCATCATTTGTCAGTAAAGCTGTGGAGGAATCCTGGTATGTCACTAAGCTATTCATGTAGGCACCAAATAGGCGATATGTGTGGAGCCCATTTGAAGGTACGTGGGTTATATGCCCAGCATTTTCAGTACGATCGCGCAACGTGCTGGGCTCTAAGAGCAGCGTGAGTTTATGCCTCTGCGCATTTGAAATAGGGTCATGATTACACAGGCTTTAGGAAGACCCTAAGGATCAAGATTACGAACCTTCGACTTCTTCAAAGCGCCACGGTTTAACTTTTAGATATCCCTCCTCAAGTTGGGTGGCGAGGTTCTCTTCGCATGGCTTGATCGTGGAGCCGTCCTGGACAAACCATGTTCCACGACGAACTTCGTATATGGGGCCTATCCAATATGCTGGACTGAGCTCCCTTCGCTCTATATCCACATCGAAGAGATAGTCCTCATTGACAGGTACCTTTGTGATTTCCTGGGCCTCCCCAGTGGCATTGTTAGGTTTGTTTTCGCCCTTTCCACCCTCGACAGCGGCTATATTTTGAAATGCTATTTCAATGGTCTGAGAATCCTTGACTGAAAACGGGACGAACTTCTTGGGAGGGGGGAGAGGTTTTGAGGCGTGTTTCTTTTGCTCCGAGAGCGAGGGTTTCCATTTTGGGGAGTCCACAGCATAGAACCACCTTACCCGCAAGGAAGGGCAGTCTTTAGGATAACGCTGTGGACTAAGGCGATGCCGGTGAGTGACTGTGTGGTCTTGGCCTTGAGAGCGTTGCAAAATGTCTGGCATATCATTATAGCCACTGTCGGGTTGAGGCGTTGTGCTCCTGGAGACATTCCAAGGAGAGATCGCCCCCAGGAATGTCCCTCTCTTACTCTCCTTTGACATTGAGCTCTGAAGAGCTCGAAGAGTTGAAGTGCGAGCCAATTCGACGCAATTACTGCCTGGTGCCAAATGAGAACAAGGCTAAAAGGGAACGACTGGCCGATGAGAGACCACGCGGAGGTTGAATTTAAGATATGAGTAATAAGTCTAAGCGTTGTCAATAGTTATGTATCCAGAATTTAACACTCTGGATTGGTCCGGGATCAGAACATGCAGATCCGATTCCTCTTTTGCCTTTCTTTTCTTCGTTCCCACACCCTCCTTCATTTGAGGGACAAAATTCGAGTTATGCAAAGCATATGGGTGATATACCAGTGCTTAACTAGGCTGTCAGAGTTCCAGGGCCAAGGGAACCAAAAAAATAAAAATAAAAATAAAATAAAGGGACAGAAAGAGGAATAGCTGCGGGGCACTGAGTAACCGGTAAGGATCTGATTCTAATCAACTTAAGTTTGGCATGCTGACCTTAAGGCAACGTGTCTAAAAATCCCAGAAGCGAAGAAATAATCTTAGAGATGGGGAAACGCTGCAAGGGAGAAAGACAAAAGACAAAAGGAAAGGAGAAAGAAAATTTTCAAATTTATATCTTAATGTCTAACCAGAGAGAATGGCTAAGGGGCCAGTTAGTATTGGTAGTATGTATGTACATACATTCGTGTAGTGGTACCTCACTCCCTATGAGTAGTAAGGTAATGAACGATAGTAATAGTTACTAGCAGGTAAGTAGTACCGTCTCAGCTAGAGGTGCAGTATACTTACAGGTAGAGATGGATTGGCCCAGCAGAATGGCCCTAGCGGCACGAAAAATTTGGGACGACATCATCATGCGTCATCCCCAATATCTAAACAGTAGTTCTAATCATCCATGCATTCATCTACTATTTGTAGGGTAATTCAAGGGGTGAGTTTCACAACTTCAATGTGGTGGAATAACCAAAACAATATAAAAAACTAGACCTTTCAGTTCCTAAATAGCTTTCGTACCTCTTATACCGAAGAGATTTGTCGTCCCAGCTGGTCCCCGCGTCATCACCATTCTCCTACTAGCGCCCAAAAACCCCACTCCGCTTTCCACCAAATCCCACTCCGCCATCCAGGGGAAACCAACGCAAACCATCTCAAGTGAAGTCCTAGGCTACCGAATTACGGACAGCGCTCACCTCGACTTGCTTCGCCATCATTCTTCAATCGACTATCGTCTCTGAAGACATCAGACCTTCTGTCATCCTCGGCTATCATTTGTTGACCTCCTGGCTAGTGCCTTTCCATAGCATTACCTACAAACCACTCCGTTGGATATCAGCCAGCGTGGCGAGTAAGAAAGGCAATAATGAACGTCCTCAAGCTTCAAAGGTCTGTAAAATTCTTTTTGGCAATTGCTGGACTATCTATGCAGAGAAGTCTGTCTTATTCCTACATCATTTGCTGAGCAATCGGTTCATATTCTCATGGTCTTGTCTATAGGAAGTTCCAACAGTTTGATCAGGGCGAAATCTTTACTCTTCAAGATGCCTTTCGAAAGTTAGATGTTGATGACAAAGGCTACTTGGATGAAGCGACCGTGATCAAAGCTACTCAACAAGCAGAGCGCCAGCCATATGACATCGTACGGCAGGCGCTAAAGGAGGTTGAACTGGATAGCTCTCGCCGGGTAGAATTTGAAGACTACGTGGATGTTAGTATTTCCATTTTTAGCCGACGTTGTTTTATAATACGATAGAGAAACTAAGACAGTGGAACAGCTTATCTCCAAGCTGCGCTCTACTCCCGGACAAAGCGGGTCTGCCAGCACTGCAGGTACCGCCGCGGTAGTACCCGGTAATGGGGCTGGCTCATCTCGCCATGTCTCTAAAGGCAGTATAGGGGGAAGAATTCATGTCCAAGGTTCATCGGCAAATGTAACTCATACTATTAATGAGGATGAAAGGACCGAGTTCACGAGACACATCAATGCCGTTCTTGCTGGCGACCCGGACATTGGTCACTTCCTGCCGTTCGCCACCGATACATTTGAGATGTTCGATAAATGTAAAGACGGCTTGGTTCTAGCAAAACTGATCAATGACAGTGTTCCAGATACGATCGACGAGCGTGTCTTGAACAAGCCAGGAAAGAAAATCAAGGAATTGAACGCATTCCACATGTCCGAGAATAACAATATAGTGATTAACTCGGCTAAGGGTATTGGTTGCTCAGTTGTGAATATTGGAAGTGGTGATATCATAGAAGTGCGCGAACATCTCATCCTTGGCCTAATCTGGCAGATCATTCGCCGGGGTCTTTTGGGCAAAATTGATATCAAGCTCCACCCTGAGCTTTATAGACTTCTTGAAGAAGATGAAACCTTGGAGCAATTTTTACGTCTGCCTCCTGAACAGATATTGCTGCGTTGGTTTAATTATCATCTGAGAAACGCAAAATGGAACAGACAGTATGTTGCCATCCTGTTTTCCTCAAGGGATAATCAGGGGATGATAGACATTTACTGACCGGTACTGCAGGGTGACAAACTTTTCAACTGATGTGAAAGATGGTGAAAATTATACAGTTCTTCTCAGCCAACTGGCACCTGATATTTGTTCACGAGGTCCCTTGCAAACACAGGACTTGCTTCAGCGTGCTGAGCTAGTTCTAGCTAATGCCGACAAACTGGGCTGTCGAAAGTTTTTGACCCCAACCTCACTCGTTGCTGGAAACCCTAAACTTAACCTTGCTTTTGTAGCCAATTTGTTTAACACGATTCCAGGTCTCGACCCTATCACTGAAGAAGAGAAGCTCGAAGTCGAAGACTTCGATGCTGAGGGTGAACGTGAGGCTAGAGTCTTTACGCTATGGTTAAATTCACTGGATGTCCAACCAGCTGTTAACTCTCTCTTTGATGATCTTCGAGATGGCACTATTCTCCTCCAGGCCTATGATAAAGTAATTCCTGGAAGTGTTAATTGGAGGCATGTCAACAGACCACCAGCATCTGGTGGTGAAATGATGCGTTTCAAAGCGGTAGAGAATACCAATTATGCCACCGAGCTTGGAAAGAATATCGGCTTTTCTCTTGTTGGTGTTCAGGGGGCTGATATCACCGATGGACAGCGTACCCTTACACTGGGATTAGTCTGGCAACTAATGCGGAAAGATATCACAAATACGCTGTCGAGCTTGGCGCAGCGGATGGGTAAACTTGAGATTACGGACTCGGAGATGATTCGGTGGGCAAATGACATGTCCCGCAAAGGCGGCAGGACTTCGTCGATACGCAGTTTCAAGGACCAGTCGATCGGATCGGGAATCTTCCTACTTGACGTGCTTAACGGCATGAAGAGTAGCTACGTGGACTATGAAATTGTAACTCCAGGCCGCAGTGACGAAGAAGCATACTCAAATGCCAAGTTGAGCATCAGTATAGCAAGAAAGCTAGGTGCAACGATCTGGTTGGTCCCTGAAGATATTTGCCAGGTCCGCTCCCGCTTAGTGACTACATTCATTGGTGAGTTTGTCTTCACTAAACTGGTCTTGATTGAGTCAATGTAAAAAGCTAACCATTGTGAACAAGGCTCCCTTATGGCTACATATGAGAAGATGCAATGAGTAAGCTCATTATGAGAGTTATATTGTGCTATGATTGGGAGTGTCACCCTATTCCATTCTCAGCCAATTCCAATTTTCTTCCTTCTGAATGGCTATTGCGTTTCCATGTGTGCAGCTTTATTAACCTGCTATAAGTTTTCGGGCATATTCGTAAAGAACAAATCTTAGAAGAGGCAGAACCCCCCATTACGTCAATGCTTTAAATTCTATTCCTTGACAGTTTATCTCGTTTCCTTTAATAGCCTACAAATAGCTTCAGCCATGGGTGAAGTACAAGCAATCTACGTAACCAACAGTTAATGGTTATAGCATAACAAGCACTTGAACTGGCATTTCTGGTTCTTCATTCATCCGTAACGTGCTTCTGCTAGATCAATATAATTCGTAAAGCAATTCAGCGATTAAGCTGCGCAGATCATCAATAGGTCATAGGGGAGCATATCACCAAGAAGTGCATCCCACTTTCATGTTTCTTTACGATCCAGGTGCTACGAACATACACATGCTCTGCTCTACATTACTATCGGTTTCCGGAACTCGCAACGACCGGTCGTACAGGACGGTTAAAGGGAATGCTAATCGTCTTCATATTAAACAGCGATTTAGACGTATGACGGACCGCTGCGGATCGTGACGGACAAAAGGACGACATACACTGGCGTGGGCGGGACGGGGGAAGAAACGATCGCTCGACGGGCGTTCGGGAAAAGTTCGAGCCGCTGACAAAAATTTCAACGTGGATTCACCAAGTCAAGATCCCAGTAAGATCGATCCATCACCACAGCACTAGGCCTGGTTCTTCTTTGTTCGCCTTCTATCTCATCCGGTTTCCCTGATAATGAAAAGAAAAAAGAAAAACTGCGGTAGAACGAATTAAGGGCATTAAAGACGGCTGGGGAAGGGGAGGCAAAATAGCAAAAAGCAGGGAGGCGACAGAGAATCTGATCAAATACCGGTGCAATCTCATGGTATGGAACCACTATGCCCATAATGGCCAAACCATCAATGTAAAACAAGAGCTGGCAATAGCTCTCTCCACCTCTCTTGAATTCTTCTTCCTTACTCTTTTCTCTTTCTGTATTACTTTTTTTTTTTTTTTGCTTTTTCTTCAGCCTCCGCGGCTCAGACCATGACAACCGACAGGGTGCTAGTACCATGAATTTGGAATGAAGGTAACCTACTCAGCAGTGTCAAGTTCATCATGGGCAGAAGTTAAGGGGTCTAGGACTAGATTGATAAGTAACGAGGGAGACTAGGTAAAAATGATTATCATTCAGAAGTTCATACCTTTTCTGTCTTCGCCATTCGGGCCATTCTCACGCTCATCGTCACGGCGTTCACGTTCATCATCACGGCGTTCTCTATCATCCTTGATATCACGCTCTCTCTCATCAGGGCTGCGAGAACGGTCACGAGAGCGTTCGCGGTCACGGTCGCGGCGATCATAGTCACGGTCACGTCGGTCATAATCCCGGTCGCGGCGATCATAATCACGATCATGTCGGTCATATTCCCGTTCGTACCTGTCGTCCCTACGAGGAGAATAATCGCCGCGGCCACGGCGAGGCGACGGTGAACGACCACGGCGTGGCGGTGTACGATCGCGCCGACGGTCTCGGCCAGAATCAAACCTCCAAGAAGCAGATGGTGGAGTGCGAGCCCACTTTGCACGCGTTAGAAATTGGTTTCTGACTAGATACCGCGGCACTTACTTCAATTTTCAATAAATCATCCCGTCCAATTCGTTTGTTATGCATTTCATGATATGCATCATCGGCATCGCGACGGCTCTCATACTCCACGAAGGCAAAACTTGATAGCGTTAGAGAAGAATGCCAGAAATGGAGTGGGTATGTCGCAACGCACAGTCTGCTGGAAGGAGTACGTGGTGCTGGAATGTCACACCGGACAAGGCGCCCGTAACTAAAGCTAGGTTAGAACCAAGACTAGCGGGGTGTAAACAAACAACTAAGATAAGATTGCTCAATGACCAAAGACAAAGGTGTATAAACAGGTTATAATAGGTAGCAAAAGCGCCGGGGCCATAATGAGTCTTCGAGGGAATGTATGTATATCAAGGAGACGACGAGTAATGCAACAAGCCAAGCTCAGGACAGTAAGGGAGGTCTTGCTCCAACGTCGACATTGCGAGGATCAACCGAGGTGTAGATTGCGAGATGGAAACGAGTCGTCTAGTCATGGTAGCGTGTAGGCAATCGACGAGCGGAACATACCGTTCGAATTCGTAGGCAAGGTCGCGAGCTCGAGTTCCGTGCCCGAAACCGGTGACATAGAGCGTGGTGCCAGGACGAGACATTGTGTGGGAAAGTCGGATATCTCTTTGTATACACCAGCGATATTATGTTTCAGTTAGAAGATAATGTATTGACACAAGGACAAACCTAGCCTAGCTAAGGAGTTTGGGTGGAAATAAGAACAAGAATGGTAAAGGAACGAGAGACAAGTTTCGAACAAGACTACAGGAAAGTGCACATGCCACAAGCGAACTTAACTCAGCCACAGCCATGAAAAGCCCCTTTAACAATTAGTAATTTAAGACTTGTAGTTACTCCGTAAATACGGTATGTAGTATCCACATCCATCACAATCATGTACTTCATACATACTTACCAACTGCGATCAGTAGTAATATACGGAGTACTCGCGTAGTTGCTTTATACCTCATTCCCCACATACTACATCTACGTATGTACTTGAAGCTCTCCATATAGAATTGTGCTGAGTAGCATCGTGACCTGTACATTTTCTGTACATACGACTATATATGTCCTATGCTGTGTTCTGTATCATTAATGCCTATTTAACATCAGTGGTGCATCCCATTGGTATTAGGTCTTCATGAAATGGTATACCAACGTGATCAGTATCTTCGATATTAAGATTCCATGAGATCAGATACTTTATCCCCATGTATACCTCTTTTATACTATGTGTTGTGCATACAACGGGTTTTGCTTTTATAAATTACCAAAGCATGTGGCTCGGCCCACCTATCCCTGACACCTGGACAACTAATGGACGGGACTAAATGCGGTCTTAGGCACGGTTTAATGTTCGACAAGCCGCCGCAATAATGCCTCGTTTGGGTCAGCGTGTCTTTGATTCATTTTTCCCTCGATGTTGAAAAGAACCACTCATTAGCCTTGAAGAGCGTTTTATACATTTCCTTATTTCTGGTACCCAACTTCTCGTTCAGATGATAGTCTAGTTGTCACCTAACGATCAGTTGTATTATTTGTTACTGCTTCCGCTTCGTGCTCTTCGCAAGCTTCTTTCCAATAGTCGGGATTTCTGGCCATGGCACTTTGATTTTCCAGTCGACCTATGTCTATTTATGGCCTGTGCGACGTCAGCGAGACGAATTCCCAGAAGGCTTTCCTACTGTGACTATTTCATAATATAGGTTCGAGCGTCCGCTGATTTTGAGAGCTCCGACGCTGACATACATAACGGCTAGTGAAGGGGAGCCTCCCAAAAACAAGTCAGCCGTCAATATACCTGAGTATCAAACTCCAAACCCCACATTAGGAGCGATTCGGGGTACCTCTACTGTGTCCGTAAATCGTTCATTACAACATGAGTCTGGATCGTCAGGAATCGGTTCGTCACGATGAGCCAAAGACTTCAAGGGACAATACCCTGGCCAAATTAACCCAGTTGCCGCCGACTTCAGCGCCGATCAAGGTAGGATGAGGACATTCCAATCATCATAAGAAGAAACAAATCCCATAGCTCAACGAGTTTCTAGGAAGCGTCTTCGGGAAACAGCAGCAAACTCGTTAGTAAACTTGAGGGCAGAATTTCGGAACCTGTCGTGGCAGCTTTCATTGCTGGGGGTGTGGCAGGTGCAGTATCCAGAACCATCGTGTCGCCACTTGAGCGACTAAAAATCCTGCTTCAAATACAGAGTGTTGGCAGGGAAGAGTACAAGCTATCTATATGGAAGGCTCTTGTGAAGATCGGCAAAGAGGAAGGATGGAGAGGGTTTATGCGGGGCAATGGTACCAATTGCATTCGGATAATCCCTTACTCTGCGGTTCAATTCGGAAGTTATAACTTTTACAAAAGGGTAAGTCATCCAACGCTCTTTGTATTCTATATTATGTACCGTCTCCCTCATTAAGTTATATGCTTATCTTGCAGTTTAGTTTGCAGAACCAATTCCGGATGCTGAGTTGTCACCAGTACGCCGGCTCATTTGCGGAGGCGCTGCTGGAATTACATCAGTCACTATAACTTATCCTCTTGACATTGTTCGGACACGTCTTTCTATTCAATCAGCGTCGTTCGCAGCGCTCAGTCAGCGCGATGGCAACGGGAAGCTACCGGGCATGTTCGGCACTATGGTCTTAATATACAAGACCGAGGGTGGTATATTGGCGCTCTATCGCGGAATCATTCCTACCGTGGCCGGCGTCGCCCCATATGTAAGTTCTGTAATGCTCTTGGCACTATACATATACTGAGAATTCCAAGGTTGGTTTGAATTTCATGACATACGAATCGGTTCGAAAGTATTTGACTCCCGATGGTGACAAGACTCCTAGTTCACTGCGTAAGCTACTAGCGGGCGCTATTTCAGGAGCAGTGGCTCAAACTTGTACTTATCCATTGTAAGATTGTTTGCAGACTTCTAACGTTCTCATGACTCCTTCAATCCCTCCCTTGCACTAACTGGTCGGTAGTGATGTTCTACGGCGACGTTTCCAGATCAATACAATGTCTGGAATGGGTTATCAGTATGCATCCGTCTGGGACGCCGTGAAAGTAATTGTTGCAGAAGAGGGAACGCGTGGCCTTTTTAAAGGAATCGTCCCCAATCTTTTGAAAGTGGCACCGAGCATGGCGAGTAGTTGGCTCAGTTTTGAGCTAACGAGGGACTTTCTTGTTCAGCTGAATGACAAATGATATCGCCATGACTCGGAAGGGATATTTCGCCGATCCCTAAGTTTCGCCTTCCTACAATGGTGTCGTAGCTTGGAAGATTACCACTTGAGCATCGCTTTATACAAGATGGTCTCTAGAAGTGGGAACCAGTTGATGGCTATTTTAAGGAGCCTATGCAAGGTCCTACGTTGCCTAACTTGAAGATGATATAAAACTGCAAAAAAATAGAGTTGTAAGTGAATGAGTGATGTGTGCTTTTATTGAAGGTAGGGTTGGTTCTATTAATGCAGCGGAGCCCTCCTTCAATTACTATACTCCGTAGGCCCTTAGTTTCTGCCTTTCACAAACTTTAATCCTGCTGCTAGTATCTTACTGAGGTGGTGCCCTAATACCTACTACTAGTGGATTGTACTCATCCAATGGTACGCACCTCGGCATGAAAGCAAACATTCCCTCGAGGGGATAGTGGAGCAACGCACTGCAGAAGTTCTTAGTGCCTTAGTTTTCAGGTGCCTAAATTTGCCCCAATACTTCCCGATTTGCTCTAGGTTAGGGCTCAACCCGCGCACACCGTCCGTCTGAAAATCGTAGATCAAAAACCTCAAGAGTTTCGTTTTTGCATACGGGTGCGAGAGCTAGCCAACTCCCAGGTGTCCCATCAGTCTTAGCAGCCATGGGTACGTGTACATTCACATATCACCACACACCATTCCGGCAGAATCATGTTATCGGATACGCATTCGAAAACATTGTTCAGGTCATTTTACACCATATATGAAGCTAACAGTCGAGCGCAGGTATCGACTTGGATCGCCACCATGTGCGTAGCAGCCATCGCAAGGCGCCGAAAAGCGAGAATGTCTATCTGCAAGTTTTGGTGAAGCTCTATCGCTTCCTCGCCCGTATGAAGGAGACTATTCCAGTGGCATAAAACGACGGAAACTGATTAGTGGTCTTGAATAGGTCGCACGGACTCCAACTTCAACAAGGTCGTGCTGCGTCGTCTTTTCATGTCGAGGATTAACCGCCCACCTGTTTCTCTGTCGCGTATCGCTTCTAACGTGACCGATGCGCACAAGGGCAAGACAATTGTCGTTATTGGCTCCGTCACTGACGACAACCGTCTGCTTAACGTCCCAAAGTTGTCTGTGGCTGCCCTGCGCTTCACTGCTACTGCCAGAGCCCGGATCGAGAAGGCCGGTGGAGAGACATTGACCTTGGACCAGCTTGCTCTCCGGGCTCCTACTGGAGCGAACACACTTCTCCTCCGCGGACCCAAGAACGCTCGTGAGGCCGTCAAGCACTTCGGTTTTGGTCCTCATAGCCACAAGGCAAGTTTTCCTTCTTTTTTTCCTTGTTTAAAAGGGCATAATTTCCTAGGAGGACACAATGAGGAGAATTAGGACTAATGCTCAGTAGAAACCCTATGTGCGAAGCAAGGGACGCAAGTTTGAGAGGGCCCGTGGAAGGAGAAGGTCTCGTGGCTTCAAGGTTTAAAGGAGCTTATTACGAAAATATCTTGTATCAGGGTCGGAACTATCATAGCCATGGAAATACATGCGCAGGGCTTTGTGATCTTATGCTTGACCTTTCACTTAGGAAAATTACGGCTAGCTTCCAAAGCTCTTTAGCTGATACGGCAGCGACTCTTACGGATATGAATGAAATCTCAGGTAGAGGAGTTGGAGCTGAATGAAAATTGAAGTTTATACCAAAGATGATCTCAGATATTGGACGAGCTGAACTAGTCAACTAGAGTGCTAGGCTTTTATGTTTCCATCTTTTCCCCCCTTCAGAATAATCACATGCTCGATGACCATTCCCCCGGATCAGATACTTGTAGATGGTTAAGCCATCTAACCCTACAGGTCCCCTGGTATGGATCTTATTTGTGCTAATGCCAACCTCCGTGCCAAATCCATACCTCATCCCATCTGCGAATCGTGTCGATGCATTCCAGAAAACACCAGCGCTGTCAACACCTTTCATAAAAATATCCGCAATGTCCTTTGACCTTGTCAAAATGATATCTGTATGCTTAGAGGAGTGTGAATTGATGTGGGCGACCGCAGTTTCAACCGACGAACTTCCGGGTGGCGCTGTAGTTATCGTTTTTACTGCGAGGATGAGATCCAAAAACTCGGTGCGATAATCCGAATCTATAGCATCCTTGAGCAGATGACCCGGTGCAGCCGGCAAGGTCTTGATTAATGCAGCCTTAGCTGCTGTATCACAGCGAAGAGACACTCCTTTAGAGAGCAAGGCATCTGCAATGACAGGAAATATGGTCTCAAGGGCATCTTGGTGTACGAGTAATGTCTCTAGAGCATTGCATGCAGCTGGATAGTCAGTCTTCGAGTCCACAATGACCTTGACCGCAACCTCCGGATCTGCATCATAATGAAGATATGCGGAACAAAGCCCATCAGCATGTCCGAGAACAGGAATCTTTGTGTTGTCCTTTACGAATCGAACGAGGTCATTCGACCCGCGAGGTATGACAAGATCGATTAATGAGTCCTGGGCTAATAAAGAAGAAATCGCATCTCTCGTTTTCACAAGCTGCACCGACGATTTAGGAACCTGGGTACTCGATATGGCGTCCGAAATAACCTGCGAGATAGCGACAAAAGACTCGGTAGATTCCTTGCCGCCTTTCTGACTTTAGTAGGATAGAACAAGCCATGAGCTTCTTATGAACACTTACCTTTCAGAATTGCAGCGTTTCCCGACTTTATTGATAATGCAGCTATATTCGCAATAACTTCAGGGCGAGCCTCAAAGATTATCAGCAGAACACCTATAGGACAGCTCACTCTTTCAAGCACTAGGCCGTCATCAAGCAGCGTCCTCAGAGTCACATGTCCAACTTCAACATAGTCAGTAATAGTTACATAATCATTCGATATACTTACTCGGGTCTTGCAAATCCCGGACATCAAGTATGCCCTTCAGCATATCATCGTACTTTCCTGGTCGTGACAAGTCAAGTCTCTTAAGAACACTTTGGCTTAAATCACCACTTGCAGCGGCCTGATTCGCCATCTCGACATCCTTCGCATTTGCCTCCAATATAGAATTCTTATTTCTTAACAGCGCATCGTGGAGTGCCGTCAAAGCTCCATTGCGGTCGGCTTCAGATAAAGTTGCCAGGCGTCGAGATGCTAGAGAAGCAGTCCTAGCGATATCAATAGCAGAAGACTCGGTAAGGGACATTTGTGCGGAGTTCGATATAGAGAGGGGGGAGAGAGAGAGAGAGAGAGAGACTGTGTGTCAGTGCCACGATTCAAGTGTAACACAAAAAAGTATTAATGCTGTGATAAGACCAATTGAGCAATGATTTTAAGGGCTGCGGCGGTTAGAATTTTTTCGAGAGAGTGTTTTGGAGGACTCTCGGGCATGCGCTAAACTGACTCACCCGATTATGGTGGGGAATACCCCGTAGGTTGTGAAAAAGAGGGGGGGGGGCCGGTTTAGCAACAAAATAAGCAGGCGGTGTATAATCTTGATCTGATTATGAAGTCGGTAGCGTCATACTCCTTTCGTCCACAAAGCATCGAATGACCTGTTTTCAACAAGCTGTCAGGTTGCAACTTTTCTGGGCATTGACCACTATTCTTCTAGACTGGACTTTGTAATCCAATCTGTCTATGAGAAATGGCCGAGTTTCTTTCGCAACTCACCTCGGTGTCATCAGGAAGCTCCGATGAAGACTATGACAGGCGAATCTGTGACCTCATCACATACCTTCAACAGCCAAGTAGGGCTTCTGAGCTTTCAGCGGCCAGTGGATATCTACTAGATGTAAGCTGAGGCATTTGAAAAAAAGGTTTAAGGGGGAGATGGGAATCGATACAGTCTTCCCCCTTCAGGTGCGGAGATTTCGCTAGCTTACAATCTCCATTGCGCGTTTACAGAACCTCGATCCTTATCTACACACTCTGTCTTACCTATCAATTTTCCTTCTTAAGATCCAGTCCCTCCAGGGCAGCAACAAGAGCCGGCTACCCGAGCAAATTCATCCCGGGCGAGAACTATGGCTCAAGGCTATTCGGTTTCTACGAAGCTTTGATCCTTTTCAGATACGGTATGCTGGCCACGAATGGCGCCAGCTAGTACAACTTGTAGTCCAGGCTGCGCAGGCTGTCTCCAAGGTAATAGTAAACATTACTTGTTTTGATCATTACGCTAACCTGCTATCGCGCAAAAGCCACTCCTGGCAGTTCTAGTTGTCAGGGATGCCATACTTCGACTCGACCCCTCATCAGAGGTCCTCACGTCAGTTCACACCACGTTTATTAAACTCACTCTGGTGTCTAGGTCGTATAGCCTTGCTGTGCCAGTTCTGGAGAGACAAATTTGTCATTTTCCGGCCGTTACTGGACAGGCTTATCAGAACTATCATCAGCCTTTGCTTTGTGCGGAACACGAGTCTAGCACAGCATTTATCACCGATGCTTCTGGGTTTTCCAAGCAGTTGACATACAGAGACCATCTGCAATTTTTTCTCTATGGTGCAATGATATATATGGCGCTAAAAAGGTGGGATAAGGCCCATCATTATCTGAGCATAGTGATATCCTGTCCTGTCACAAATGCCGTCAGCAAGATCATGGTAGAAGGGTACAAAAAGTGGCTCTTGGTTAGCCTGTTAAGAAATGGAAAAGTAGCCTCCCTGGCGAAGATACCATCCATAAGTGTGCAGCCTCCCAGCTAACTGGTATCGTTCTTTGACAGTTGGCCGCACACCCGGATGTTGTCTCTTCGCATGTTATCAGAGCATATCAGTCCTTGGTAAAGCCATATACCTCACTAGCCGATGCATTCGAAAAGGGTGACTATCAAAGGTTGAAAGCTGAAGCTGAGGTTGCACAGTCTATTTGGCGTCTAGTAAGTTATGGGCTGGAATTCTTGACTTTTGTGGTGTCTGTTTTCTTGATGTGCTTATTGATATCTAGGACAATAACACCGGCCTTGTCCACCAAGTAATCATGGCATTTACAAAATGCATGACTCTGAAATTAGGGAGGACGTTTTCTGCCCTCACAATGGCGGATGTGACACAACAGGCGTCCGATTGTTCATCACTCCATGAAGTTGAGTCATTAGTGGCATCACTTGTAATGTCAGGGGCTTTCAGTGCTGTCTTGCTACAATCACATAACTACGATGACACTACAATGCTTCGATTTTCCAATTCAATAAAATCCCTCTATTCGCGGGAACAGTGTGCACGGGGGAGGATAGTGAAAGAGGGTCGGCAATTGGGTGTTATAGGGCGAACTATTTGCCAATCCAACCATGGGCTGGAGCTGAGTAATGAGCATTTTGTGTTTTCACAAAAGAGTCTGAGGTGGTCTGACAACCCTGGAAAAGGCAAAGTCAGCGCACTCAACGAAGCAGCCGGCGGAGGTGACATTGAAGAAGATATTATGG